GCCGAAGTATGGCTAAATTGTAAAAACTACTTAAAGCCGGGGTATATACCAAAAACGTGGACAACATATAAACCATAGGCCTGTATAAAATTCAAAGGAACTATATTTAATTTGTAAAGATTAGTGCAAAATTTATATGGCACTTATTGTAGCGTAAAGACCATATACAGGGAGAGATAAAAACAAACTGCAACAAAGTCAAACGCCATAATTTTTAGCTTTTTTTTAATTTTATTGAGTCGGAACAAATGTCGGAAAAAGCCTCAAATTTTAGAATAAGTTTAGATTTGTTCCAATTAGTCACCTTTACTTCGAATTATGGCCTTCAAACGGCCAATGAAACCGTCACACACTGCCCGAATTTTACTCTGCGGTATTTGGCCCATTGCCGGCGAAGCACTTGCTTGAGGTGATCAACACTTTGCTGTTCTTCAGTACCTACCTTAGTTTCCAAAATACCCCAGACACAATAGTCCAACGGATTGGTATCCAGAGATTTTGTTGGCTATTGTGCGCTGGAAATGAAGCGAGGAACCTCATTTTGTAACCATTCTTGGGTGGCGTGTGCTGAGTGCGATGGTGCTGAGTTCTGTTGGAATATCCAAGGTTTGCGGTAAAAATGTGTGCGGGCCCAAGGCTTTAATATACCCTCCAGAATATTTTCGCGATAATATTCGGCGTTATTTCTGATGCCACGGTCGATTAATACGAGCGGAGAGCGACCATTGGTTGTTATGGCGTCCCACACCTTCACCATGGCCGGGGCTTGAGTTTTGAGCTGGACAACGAATGTTTTCTTATCGGAGAAAACCAAATTTGGCAGTTCACCACTTTCGGGCAAGCGAAGCAACTCTTTAGCTCTTTTGAGTCTATTATGTTGCGGTGTAAGTTATTGTACTTTTTGGAATTTCAATGGCTTTACCCTGAGCGGATTTCTCAATATTTGCCGAATGGAATATTGCGATATGTTCAGCTTACGAGCCATTTTTCGGCCACTGCGACACGGGTTTCGATCAAGTCGCTTCTTTACTTTTCGAACCATTTTTGAAGATGTTGCTCTTTTCTTCCGTCCACTTCCTTGATTTCGGGCTACGCTAAGATTTATTCACATTTTAATGCTGAAGTGCTCTAACGATAGCCACTTGTGGTTTTCCAGCCAAATATAAAGAAATCACATTATCACGCTTGAATTCCATCACGAATAACTTTTTTTTCTGGAAAATCTCACCAAAATGCTTTTGTACGCTTATAAACAATATAATCAGCTATCACTGGAATAATTTTAATAGCTGTCGGACGAGTGGCTTAGAAATAACAGCAGTCTGCAGAAGTTTGTTGCAGTTTTTTTCATCTCACCCTGTACCCATGTTGAAATTTTTCTGTAATATGGTTGTCTTCCCCTAAAGTAGCCTGAATACAAATTTTTAGTCAAATCGATTGGAGAATGTGGTCGGGACACTCGAAATGGGTAAAATCCGGAAGTGCTTATATATATCTGAGACATTGACCTACATTGACATTTTCAGCGAAGAGGCTCTTTACCCCTTAGAAACCAAAATTCCAATTAAGGGTCAAATCAATTGAATAATGTGGGATATCTTCAAATGAGGGTTATATCAAACCATAGGACTCAAACTATCAACATTTGCCGAAATATGGCTAAATTGTAAAAAATTTAAAACATCTATCTTTAATTTGTGAAGAATAGTACAAAATATATGAGACACTTAATGCAGGGTAAGGGCTATTTATAATGAACCCTAATAAAAGTTTTTTTTGAATTTTCGAACTACTGAAAGAATACTATCACCTCCACATAAAATTGTCTAGCTCCCAAGTTGGCTAGTGACATCAATTCAATGTCAGGCATATATCACCAATTTCTTCCAAGTGTACTGAGAAAGGTTAGATTTTTCACTACTCCATTTTAAGTTGAACCCAAATTTAAAGTAAAAGATCGGATATTTCACGAGAGAAACCATTACATCACATGCTGTCACTTGCAAATGCAATTGTTGGTTTATTTTCAATTTAGCTCACTTTTGCTTTTGACACGCTTCACATATTGCCCAAATTATATTTTCAAATGTTGCATGAATTTTGCATAGATTGTGTTCAATTGGAAATAAATTTTTATTTAGCTTAACAACTCTACAATAAAAAATACCTGTTGGCTAATATTGCTTTGCGGTTATTTTAAAATATTTTTCCTTTTTTTTCCCAAACATATTAATTTGTTTTACGGCATCTCTTTTCGTATTGCTTTACATTTAGTGGCATTGATGGTCATTTGTTTGACAAATTGAGGAAGCAATTTGTCCCAATATTTAAATTTTAGATATTTTGTTTCCCTCTTCAGTAATTGTTATTTCTTCAAATAATAGATCCTTGGGTAAATTCAAATCTCGTTTTTTCTTTGGTGTGTTATAAATACGCTTAACTCGGTTATATAATCAAGTACAGAAGCGGTAAATGGCATAATTTTGACACTCATGAGTCTCTTGCTGAAATTGCAACTTAAAATAGTTCTTTCAGGAACCCGGGTATGTTATGACAGATGTTTTTTGTTCACTCAATTACTTTTTCTCTCCTAGGGACATGCCATAAAAGTAGCGCTCGTGGCACTTAGTGTTTAACAGAATTGAGTGGTATGTTAGTACTCTATAAACGAACAAACTATTCTTTACGGTTGGATAATTTCAATCATCATTCGTGTATCTCTCATCACCCTCTAAACATTTGTAAGAATATTTAGCACATTTCATACTCACATACTGCCAATCTGAGCTCGGCAGCGCTCGATTTTACTCTCGGGTTAAAATTTTCGCAAGCCTACTCCACGAGTTTTACTCTTCACTCTTTTGTTTTATATGGGTAAGTAAGAATGTTCGAAATAGAGTAGGCATTTTCTCACAAAATTAAATGTTTGTTTTAATTTTAATGGTTTGTTTGCAGCTGTGGGTTGAGGATATACCATTACTTACAAATAAAACAACGGGATTTTACTCTGACTCGAAAACGAACAAATCCTACTCGCTTCTATTCGAGTGGTTTAGATAAAATTGATATACCTGATTTCTTTTTTCTACTCGCTGGAGTACTTCCGCTCGGAATTGAGCGAGTCTCTCTCTCTCTAATCGCATTTCTGAATTTTGCTATGAAATGCTTTGAGATCGACTATTCTCCTAAGTGGCTTACTTTTACAGGTGGCTTATAGAAGATTTATGCTTATAACTTGGAAGTAACTTATGTGACTAACAAATTTTTGGTGTGTACCAAATTGAATTTTAACTTGGTCGCAAATATTCTGCCGAGTTTTTATTTTGCGGTACGAGAGTTTTTTTGTATTAAACATTTGATTTCCAAAGGAAAATTTTGTTATTATATCATATTCTTATTGAGTCTGTTAAGAATTAGCAATCATATGCGGGTTCTGGTTCAAAACCAAAAAAAACCTACTTGTCGAGTACTCACGTTAGCGAGTATTTTTCACTTGCGAATAAAATCGAGCAAATCGGAGCTCGGGTTAAAATACAAACCTTGGTTGGAACTCATGATGCTCATGCAAGTAAAATAACTGAGTACCAAAAATACTTCCTTTCATAAGACTGAGATCCGAAATCATGCGGAAAGAGTCTAGTGGCTTACATTTGCCTGCAGCTTAATGAAGATTTCTGCCTGTTATAATTTTGGAGCAATACTTTATTTTTCATCCTCTGGTAATTCAAATGACCGTTGTTTTACATTCCATTATGACAAGTTATTCAGCTAATATGGCTTACCAATTTTAGTTGGTTACCTATGTAAGAAACAGGTATCCGTGTGACATTTCCATATAAAAAAAAAACTTATAGAAATTTAACAGTTTAACATCATGATAATGACAACTTATAATTTGTAATATACCCATTATTCGGTACAGATTTTGGCTTTATTGTCAATGCTATAAATTCCATGATAAGATGAAAATATGTTGTAGTTGAATTCTATATTTAATGTAACCGACACATTTTTTCCCTGACAGGTAATGCAGAAGTTTTGATGTTGTCATTGCTTGTCATGTAGAAAGTATCAAATGGGGCAAACAGGGTTTGCTTTAATATTCCAGATTCCAACATTGTGTAATACTAAATAAATAATTTTAATGTTTTTTAAATTATGATCACTTGGATTTGAAATTCAAGCAATGAAATTCAAACTATTCTTCGATCATAGAAATACTTCAATTTTTTTTTATTATTTTTAATGAATGAATTTGATTTTTTTTACGACCTCGTTTGAACTCATACAGAAGACCAGAGAAAAAATGTTGCAATCCATTCAATACGTCAAAAATAAATATTCTAGATATTCGGAAAATGTCAAGACTATATGACAATCCAATTAACCACGTCAATGAATTGTTAAAAATGTCATGGCCTAAATTGTTTGCCTAGGATTATAATGGTCGATTTATCCTAAAAGAATGTCATGCAAAATCACTTGCATTAGTTACTGAACTCATACTTTGGCATTATAGCTCTTATTATTTATTTATTCTTTTTAATTTTCTGTTTAATTTTTGTTTGTAACGCTATGGAGTATTAAGAAATCGGTCATATTTTAACACAAAAAATTTTCTTCCGTAAGAAAAAAAAACTTACAAAGCCTTTTAAATTTATGAAGCAAAATTCGTATAAATTGCAAATCTTGTAGATAGTTGTAGGTTCTGGAACAACAAAACGTACGCATATCTAATAAACGATTAGTATACAATGAATTTGGGTATTTGCGTTTTGATTTATTCCATTTTCAACTTATCTACTTGGATATTAGCCCTTGCATTGAATTCAATTTATAAGCAGCGATTAGATTAGATATTAGAAAAAGTACACCACCACACAAGATTAGATATGGAATTATTATTAATAGTACTTTTTGTTAACATTAACCTTTATTCATGGTCAAAAATAACGGATGTGAATACTAATATATTTTTTCTATTTTTTTTTTAATTGCAGGTAACTTTGATGTTGAATTAAATGAATTTGGGAATGAACTTCACACTTCCATAGCAACTAATGTTGCAGTTTGCTGATATTAAGGATCGCAAGGACAATGTCAAGGTTTAAGGTTTCAAATAATACAATTTTCATAATATTCAAATATTTAAATTTCAAATGATCGAAGACCTGAGCAGTGGTGTTATGCCTCAATTTTCAGTCACAGGGTATTTGCGTTAAATTCCAGGTTTTTAGAAGTGTATTGTAACTAATTGTGCAAACAAACAACATTGTGCAATAAATAAATAATAAAATGATTATGCAGAGTTAAAAATAATGTGTTAACTAAGTACATTTTGGCACCTTTATGCTCTTTTTGAAACATGAATTCGAACTGCGAATGGAATTCACTAATAACAATTAAATTGCTTCCAATTATATCTGAACAAGTAAAAAGTATCAGTCGGTTTTCCCAACAGATGTACCTTCAGCAATGTTCGATTATTTAAATATATATTGACTTCGGTTAGGATTATTAGGAAGGAATGGGCCAATATAGTCCATTTCGTATCGGATCTAAATAAATATGATATCAATATTGCGACGTGCCAGGTTTGTACTATATTGGTTAGTTCCTTCACTTTATATGAAATATGTGATAATTCTTAGAAAATATAAAAATGTGCGTGAAATTCGACCGAAGTATTCGTCACTATCTGCTACAGTCGACCAAGGTGTTCCATTTTCATACTTTATAAACACAGATAAAAGTATTGCACTGGGCAACATTACAAGAAAATCGAACATTTATATCTAATTTTAGGCGAAATCACAAATTCCATATTCATCTCAAGTTTCTGGGTGTAGATAAATTTTTTAGATATAGCAAGTTGCGAAAGATCGCTGACTTGTTTCGAAAGTTATGACAGATAAAAGTATTGAAAATTGTAACCCTTTGTGGGTGAGGTACCAGAAGGGGCTCTCAAATATATATAATATTCACAACAGATATTGTGTTAGCTAAGATATTTGTAAGTGTGAAATTTTGAAGAGAGTTGGATGCGTATTTCGCTTTTTTTGAGCGTTTTGTTTTTCAAAATCTCGAACCCTATGTGGGTACTAGAAGAAATGATCCAATCTCTACCATCTTTATAACAGATCTTGTGTTGATGGAATGGATATTCAACACTTCGGCCCCTTGTGGGGGATGTACCAGAAGGAGTGGACCGATATATCCCATCTTCAGAGCAGATCTTGTGTTAGTAGACGTGTGTAATTTGAAGACAATCGGATTATTACATTACATTTTATAAGAGTTATAATAATTCAAAATGTTGATCCTTTGTGAGGCGGTACTTGATGGAGTGGTCCGTTTTTGTCAATTTTCACACATGAAGTAGCACTTATGCAAATATTATGATTTCCGAAGTTGAAACAAAATCGGATTATCCGTCCTCTTTCTGTGCAGTACAATATCTTTTTTAAGTTTTCGACCTTTTGGTGAGAAAATCGATCTAAGTTTGACAATAATATTACGATGTAACAAGTTTGGACCAAATCGTACTCTCCCTTCGAGAGTTATTCGCAGCAGCCAGACAGACGGACGGGCTGACATCTCTAGATCGACCCCAATTGTTCTGAAACGGATTTTTCCAAAGAGGCCGTATCAAATGATATATACTCCCTCCCAGATTTGTAATTCTTTTTGCCCGATAGAGCAGCTTTCACTAACACACCGCCCATGGGCAATTCACCACACCTTGCAAACAAACATAGTTTTGTGCATAAGACTCACCACCTGCACTGCTCGCTTGTTTACCAACAACAAATTTGCTTTGCAGACAGACAGTAGCTTTTCAATAACTTATGAGGTCCGGTCGCTTGATTTCATCATTTTCGATTGATAAAAACTCGGAAGATCGGTGGTCAACTCCAAATAAAACAAAAATATGAGTGTGGTAAAAATAACAAGTAAATAAGCCGCCGAAAAGCCGAACTTTGAATACCCATTGAATACCATTTGGAAAGATTTAGAAATTTTCAAAAAAATAATATCCATTAAAAATTCCGTTTAAATTTTATAAATACCTAATATCGGAAGGTGTCGATATATGGGGTATTTATGATATTGTGGACCTGTATCGACAAATCTATTTCTGGGGGTAAAGTACTCACAGTACTCTCCTTGTGCAGAATTTCAGACAATTACGTTGAAAAATGTGGATAAAATTATCAAAATATCGAATATCGGGGGTACCGTTATATGGGGCTATACGATATCGTGGACCTATATAGATAATCATCTTCAAGGGGACAAAGTACTCACATGGAACTCCTTGTGTGAATTTTCAGACAATTCCGATGAAAAATGTAGCTAAAATCATCAAAATAACGAATATCTGGGTGTATCGTTATATAGGGGCTATACGATACCGATATTGCCCATCTTTGAACTTGACCTGCCTGAAGACAAAGGACAGACCTGCTTAGCTTCCTATCTTAATACATGAGGAAATTATGATATGGTACAGGGAGTTTTGTTGGGTATTTACCACTGGCAAAATTTTGTCTACCAAAACCATTGTTTGGTAATGGGTTTTTTTGTAGATACAGATGTATTATTTTGAAAACATTTAAAAAATATTACTTGGGGTTTGAAAATCTGGTTGTTTTATTACTAACATGGGCTATTTTATGACTTGAAATCGATGAATCGGCAACCTAACCCTTGTCTTAGGGAGAGTTCAATTGTCATTTGAAAACGTTTCAGAAACATTACTCGGGATTCGAAAATCTGGATTTTTTATTATTAACATGGGTTATTTTATGACTTTAAATCAATGAACTGCCAAAATAACCCTTTAGGTATTTACCCAAAGTTTTTGGGCCTAAAAATTGCGCCTCCCCCATTTTTACATTAGATTTCTCATAAAATATGCGTTGTTAATTTAATTTGACTTATGATACTTGTGCTTACCACATGAATCAGCATAAAATCGGCAACAATAAAAAATCATAATTCAAAACATGTTAACATATTCAATTGTTTTTCGAATTGTTTTCGAATACTATAAACTCTCTCGCTAATCACAAAATAATAATTTTCTTCAGCTGTGGCTACGCATAAATATACGAAGACTCGTAAAAAAAGTGTTTCGTGTTTCACTTGGCGTAATGATTGCAATAAAAATAAAACCATAAAACTGCGATTTGATTTGGCGAAAAAAAAAAAAAAAAACAAAAAAAGTTAACAATGTTAACACGAAAGCATACAATTGAAAAAGAAAAACAAGAAAGAAGAAAAAAAAATACGCACAAATCAAACAAGCAAAATAATGAAAGCGAAACGTATTTAGTTTAGCAAAGTTTTAATTAACAAAAGTTTTTTTTAATGTGTTCCGTGTGGAGCCATGAAATGCAAAAACGATAGATACTTTGTTGCATTGAAAAGTTATTTTATCTTAAACTAATACAAAATATCCATTGCTTAATTAAAACAATGTGAACTTTGCCCATATATTATTAATAATCTCTTGCTTTTTTGCCCGAAATAGAACGAAGTATCTAACCAATAGATATGTGACACTTCAATTTCTTCAAATTAGATTAAATGGATGACAAATCATTCTTTATTTACGTAATCAAAACCAGTTAATTGAAAACGATTAGATAAATTGTATATATATAATAAAATAACCCATCAGAAATTAAAATAAAAAAATAATAATATTTCCAACAATATCACGTTCACACATACCAAATACAAAAAAACAAAAATAAATAAATATGCAAAAATTTGATCGTAAAAACGTGTACGTATCAAAGCATGTGATTAGAAAATAAATTGTTCAAACAAAAATATCGCCAATGAAAATAAAGATATATATAATTGCACACGCGATAATAATTATCTTGAATATAAAGAGAAAATCAGTTTTAATTTATTTTTGCGCTTTCTGATGATATATGTGTGGTGGAAATTTGGAGATACTTCTCACAATTGATTATATATTTGAAAACTTCTAGTCTTAGATTATTCAGTCCATCATTGGTGGTTCTACAGATAATAAATAAACATTTCCTAATACTAACTGTGAAACTATTTATAACAATTTCTAAAGCATTTTAAAATCAATTTCCAGTGCAGTTAATGCCAGAGTAGGGAGATTTTGCCGAAAATTAAAAAAAACCTTTTTATTACAATTTTCCCATACCATTACAGAAAAAATCCAGTAGATTATTTAAATAGAGTTAAAAATAAAAGATTCGTTTATAGGCGATTTCAACATTTACATCGCAAAGTACACGACAAAGTGGGGTCAAGGTCCCCCCCTATCAATTTTTTTTTTAAATTTTCTGACTATCCTTACATTTTAGTTCCAAATTGTCTTCGGCAATATTACTGAAAACAATACGATTTTATTGGTTGGAAATTTTAAGTCTAAAACTTGATTTTTTTGGTTTATTTTTCAAAAAAGGCTAAAGGTTCCCTTTAATCGGAACCGTAACAAAAAATACAGGATGAGCTAAAACAAGTAAAAAAGCAGTAAGTTCGGCCGGGCCAAAATTTGAATACCCTCCACCATTTGGAACGAATTAGAAAATATTCGAAAAAAAATAAAATACATTGAAAATTCTCTTAAAATCTTTAAAATACCTAATATCGGAAGGTGCCGATATATGGGGGATATGCGATATTGTGGACCTATATAGACAAATCTATGTCTGGGGGTAAAGTACTCACAAGGAACTCCTTGTGTGGATTTTCAGAGAATACCATTGGAATATATAGCTAAAATCATCACAATACCGAATAACGGGGGTACCGTTATATGGGGGCTATACGATATCGTTAACCTATATAGATAATTATCTGCCGAGGTATAAAGTACCCACAAGAAATTACTTGTGTGGTTTTTCAAACAATTCCATTGAAAAATGTGGCTAACATCATCAAAATACCGAATATCGTTGGTACCGTTATATGGGGGCTATACGATATCGTGGACCGATATACCCCATTTTCGAACTTGACCTGCCTGCAGACAAAAGAGAGATCTGTGCAAAATTTTAGCTTCCTATCTTAATTAGTTTAGACTGTAGCGTGATTACAACAGACGGACAGACGGACGGACAGGGCTAAATCGTCTTAGAATTTTACGCTGATCAAGAATATATATACTTTGTTGGGTCTAAAATGATTATTTCGATGTGTTACAAACGGAATGACGAACTTAATATAACCTCCATACTTTTTTGGTGTAGGGTATAAAAAACTGCAACAAAGTCAAACGCCATATATATATATATATATAT